ACCTTTTAATTATTTGAAAAAAGATCAATACCTACCATAAATATTGCATGGCCTTGTTTGCCTTCAATCTTTTTTAGTCTCTTCCTTCACTTTTCATTACTCTTCCTTTTCTTTTTCCTATTCCTCTATTTCTCTTCTGTTCTCCCTCCCCTTTCTCCTACAGGCTCCTTTTTCTCCACCATCCCTCTTTCCGTTTCTTTGTCTTCCCTCTCCCACCTCCTACTACCCTCTTCCTCCTCCTCCTCTTTTACCCCTTTCCTTAGAATATGACTGCAAATTATGATGCATTAGGTTACCCACTAAATTTTTGAGCTGGAGAATATTAGGGTTGTAAGTTAAACCAAGTGAATTTGGAAGCAGGTGGATGGAGTGGAGAGCTGTTAGAAGATGAATGCTGGAGACTAGGTAAGAGCTGTTGTTAGTTTGAACTAGGCTTGGCATTGGGAATGGATAGGATATAATGTAGGTAGAATCTACAGAATTTGGTGATTAGTGGAATAAGGGAAAGTGAGGTTACCCTGATATTGTAGTCTAGATTATTAGGAAATGTATTTATTTTTCTCATTCATTCATCCATTCATTCAGCATACATTGAGTGTAGTGGTGGTTTTAACAGAACAAGGAATTCAGCAAGACAAAGAACTAATTTTAGAGTCTGGCTGATAAGTTTGATTTTAGACATGTTGAACTTGTAGTACTGATAAGGTAGCTTTTAGAAGGTATTTTGAGCCCTAGCTGGTTTGGCTCAGTGGATAGAGCGTTGGCCTGCGAACTGAAGGGTCCTGGGTTTGATTCTGGCAAGGGCACATGCCCGGGTTGTGGGCTTGATACCCAGTAGGGGGCGTGCAAGAGGCAGCCAATCAATGATTCTCTCTCATCATTGACGTTTCTATCTTACTCTATCTCTCCCTTCTCTCTGAAATCAATAAAAATATATTTTTTAAGAAAGAAGGTATTTTGAAATTTGATTCCAGAATTTAAGAAAATTTGAAGCTAAAGAGCTAGTATCCTATTAATAATACTCAACTCATCTATTAATACATAGAGAAAAACCAATATGCTTTATTCTCAGGTATTGCATTGGCATAAGAAATAACCTCAGCATAACAATTTGGGAATTTTTGCTTAATCAGATTTGCTCATAGTCCTTTTCAAAATTGATTGTTACTTCCTATTTGAAGTCAATATTTTATAAATCAAAACAGCATAATCACAGATATGTAGTAAAGGATGAATGTTATCTATTTTCTAACTAATTATCTAATTGATAACTTTTTATTTGATTTAATATTTAAGTAGCAAGCTACTAGTAAATAAAGCAGTACTTCGTTTTGTAGGTAGGAAAGGCATGAAAGCTTCCAGATGACTAAGTTCTTCCAATTCTAGGAAAATTCATTTCAACTTAGTAGTACTGAAAACAAATAGAAGTTACTGTAGTTAAAAGAAATGAACTTTACAACATTGATTTTAGTACATACCTATTCTGTTAAGACCATCAGTATTTTCTCTGGTTGGTCGGTGATTTTCTCAGAACTCTGTTTTTTGTATGATTTTGCCTGCATTTTTCTAATATGAGGAAGTTCATGTTATCTTTTTGTGGCTATTTCTAGAACACAGGATGCCTTAGATTTTATCTTCCCATGAATGAATGAAGTAGGAATATCTTTGAGCTCTCAATGGTGGGAAGATTTGGTTAGTGGGGATTAAAGAAAAAGGAGGGCAAAGAATAAAATAAGCCTTGACAACAAAAGGAAAGTGACTTGGTTCTCTCAGAATAGTAGTGAATGCTTGAGCCTGCTTCCCATTGGAGAGCTCAGATATAGAAATAGCAGGAAAGAAATTAGCGTTCACTTTGGGATTGGAAAATCTTGAAAGTATTAGGAGTTTGGTTTCTCATGTTCAAGAAAGAATCACTGAAAATTTAAAAATTAAGAATGTATGTAATAATGACACCATTTTATTAATAGACCTTATAAATGAAACATCTTAAAAAGCTATAGTGTCTGTATTGCGGTTTTAAATCATAGATATCTTTAGATTATGTATAATTTATTGTGACTGCCAAAATAAATTACCATAAACTGAGTGGCTTAAACCAACAGAAAATTATTCTTTCAGAATTCTAGCGGTAGAAGTTTAAAGTCAGTATAACTGGGCAGAAATCAAGGTGTTGGCCTGGCTGCACTTCCTGTAGAAGCTCTAGGGGGAGAGTCCATTTCTTGTCTCTTCCAGCTTCTGGTAGCTGCCAGTGTTCCTTGGCTTGTGGCCTGATCACTCCAGTCTTTAAGGCCAGTATTTCCAATCTCTCTCTGCACAGTCTTCATACCACCTCCTCTTCTGTGTGCCAAATCTCCCTCTGCCTCTTTTGTGTAAAAATACTTTATATTTATCTCACCTGGATACTTTTCTTTTTCAAGATATTTAATCATATCTGCAAAGAACTTTTTTCCAAATAAGGTAACATTTACAGGTACCAGGAATGAAAAGCTAATATTTTGGGGTGCCATAATCAGCCTACCACAGAACACATTTTTTGTTTGTTTTTTAGACTTTCATTTTGTTCCGGAATTTGCTGTCAGAACAGATTGGACTGAGTGAGGCTTTTATCACCCCAAATGACGTACTTATTTTCTTGCCATAACTACCATTTTTTAATTGAACCCTATGTTATGCCCAGATTTCAAGATTCCCAAGAAACCACATCAGGGAGCCAGCCAATCCGATGCAAAAGCATAAGAATCTGTATTCGAGCTAGCTCGGCTCCCCCACCTTGCCGACGCAGCGACAGGAAGCAGAGAGAGATAACTCTGTGTGGAGACGGGTTATATAGGGGGAGTTGGAGGAAGGGGAGGAGAAAGGACTGTGCTCTGCCGATTGGCCAGGCACAAGTCTGTGTCTTGTTCCTGGGTGTGGCTAGCAGAGGCTTAGACTTCCGGGAAGAAGCTCCTTGCCAAGCACGTGGCCAAGGTAAGATGGAGCCCTTACCCTGGGGCAAGGTGGAGGGCCTAGCCCTCGCCCTTTCACCCTATATTGTAGAATAAAATGTATTGCATTCTAATAGCACAACAGAATAGATCTAAAAGCCTAGGATGGTGGTTACTTAATTAAAATAGTAGTCAGGAAATATCAAATTGGTGAAAGAGATTGATTGAATTGTTCTTTGACACTCATGGAACTTATCTATGACTCAATAAAATTTAATGATAGCTTTTAGTTTGGGGCAGCCTTGGTTTTGTAGGGCTTGCTTGGTCAGGTTGATGCATGATCAGGTCCAATTATTCTTTTATTGTACCAAGTATACCTTCTATAATGGCCTATTAGAAATGACCTGTCTTTTAGCCTGTACTTCTCCTATATAGCTACTAGTTTAGAATGATTCCTCTGGGGTCTTACTTAATGTTTCTGACATATTGAGGTTGAGTTTTCACATGTAAGTGTATCTTAATGTATACATAGTGCCTAAACCTCAGTATGGGAATAACTTTTATGAGTATCATTTGATAAATTATGATCACAAAACGATTAAGCAATAAAGCTATAGTTTCCTTTTCTTTCGTCATTATATTAATTAGCATAAATATTTAAATGTTGATAACCGATAGATTTGGCATAGGAAGAGAAATAATTTGCCAAAGGGAAAATGGAAGCCTAATTCTCTTTGTCCTATAATCTTTCTTCCAGCATGCATGATGTTCTTCTGTGCAACCAAATATCACAACTGTTTTTGCTCTGCTAGTTGAGGACATTAGCAGTGTGAACAAGTTCAGCATGAAGACAAATTCACTATCAAAAACCATAGTCAATATTATGATTAAAAACCGACATACTTTCTGAATTTTGCATTGAGAATTGAAGTCATTTGCTTCATGTTACTTGCCACAACTCACTGAGTGGTCTTGGCTTTAGCAACTTGGATAATAAATGACATGGTACTTGTAAATTTTTCATGTTCTTTCAATGTCTGTAAAGCAGTCAATGAAGTATTCTGGCTGAATACTATAAAGTGGTTCCTTATTTACTTAAGAGTGAAAGATTACATATCTCAATATCTGCTTCTGTTATTCCCAGATTACTTAAGTGAAATGTCTCTAAATTTAGATAATCTTTCGTTACTTGTTTGTTGGGAGACTGCTGAAAAGCAAATGACACATTTATTCTTTCAGAAGACCTGATAGACATCAAGAGAAGGGATAACAGAAAACATTGAAAAAAGGAAAAGGAGGACAGTATAAGTGAGGTATCCAGTAAGCCATATTTACATTATCATTTGAGAATTGAATTGACATAAAACTTTCTGTTTTTGACCAAATAGTTTAAAGAAATTGCTGCATACTGAAAACATTCTTAAAACTTTCTTAGAAAACACATGTAAGAAAGATTTACCAATGCGTTAATTTATATTCAAATGTTTCATTGAGTTCTTTAAAATTCTTTCTTATAAATCTGCATTAGGATAACCATTTTTCAATAAAAATTATGTGCAGGGATTTGTAATTAAAATCTTCATAAATGAGCTAGAAGATGAAACATTTTTTATTTTACAGTATAGGTGTATAATCTAATTTTATGAGAAAAAGCGAGTCCTCCAATCGTGGTGGTATCCGTAGCCATGCACATTATATAAGGAAGCTTCCTTCTCTGCATAGTTTGTGTTCTTCCTCTGTCATGCTCTGCTCGTCTGCACGTACCTATTTCTGTTTTTGTTAGTCATCCTCTCTAGGTAGAATGTCCAAGAGACCAGTGATTCCATCCATCAGCAAATTATCCAGAAAATGCTGTCTTTGCACGTTGTGACAGATCATGTCGCTAGTGGATTTATAGCTACTCCAGTGGTCTAATTACCCTGGCAAGTCGTCTCCCGGGCCCAGCACTGTTGACTTGTTGCCTTGGCATCTAAGTTTTGTTTTCTCATTATCTTCTTTCTTCACGAAAGCTCAGATTTACAGTTTCTAAAAACTTAACCCTCTCTATTCACCATCCTCCTTATTTTTGATTGGCAGTATCATCCAGACAAACAAAGTGCAGATGTGCCTGCAGGAATGGTGGAGGAATGTATACAGAAGTTCATCGAAATTGATCAGGCATGGAAAATTCTAGGGAATGAAGAGACAAAGAAAGAGTATGACCTGCAGCGGCATGGTAGGTACTTGTGGGGAGGAGCCACAGCACACGGGCACCTTTCTAAGCACCATCTGCAGCTGTGCCTGGGGAGCATTCTCTAGCATGTGCACCAGGTTATTACCTTCTTTACTGCCCCATCAGTTTGTAATTATTCCCCATTCTTAGTAGTGATTATTGCGACTCCATCGAGAAGTTAGCAAACGACTAAGACGTGGCTTGTGAATCTGTGGAAGCTACTTTTTGTAACTAATGAGAAATGTTTAATTACACATTCCTACTTACTATGTTTCACATGTTTATTTTTATTAAATTATAGTGCTTTTAGACTGGGTACTGTATAAAGGATAGTCTAAAGGAAGATACCCGATGAAGTAACATAAAGCACTCTCTGCCTCTGAGCTTGTTTTAGGGTAGGTTTCGAGATTATCTCTTGGATAAGCTATTCCTTATAAGATTGCTATAAATAATATTTTTGGAATGAACATTTCCCAAGCAGTTTCAAAAGTCATTTATTTGATGCATTTTAGAAAATACCTTCTTAAAACAGTGACAAGCTCTTGTGAGAAAGAAAGGGAGAAATGTAGGTCAGGTTTATCACACATGGATTGCGGTTACACAAAGTGATAGGCTGTCTTTCAGCGCTGGCCTTGGGACAGAGTCCCTCAGCCTTCTGTCTGAACCTTCACTATGGACCCTACATGTTAATGGGGGGAGTCAATAATCAGTTACAGCCTGTGGGGAAAACACTCAATTGCACTCTGCAGTAGGGCACCAGCCTTAGCATTGACTCGTATGTGTGGATAAAAGCTTACTGGCTCTGTAGTTGATTATTGAGTCCCCTTCCGTGCCCTATACTGGCACACCATCAGACCTAATAATGTGATTTTAAGACTTATACAACTATGGTTTTGAAAATTTGATATGAAAATCAAGGCTTTATTTCTAAAACATGTCATTATAGGATAAAGACAGTATAAAATAAATATACAATATCTATATTTTCAGAGGGAGTTGTCCTAATAAATTAAGTATTGCTTATAGTGTGTGATCCCATTGTGTATCAAGACTCCACGAGCTATTTGTTTATGTACTGCAGTGTTGTTGTTGTTTAAATAGTGACTTTCAGAACACTAATCAGCTCTAAGGCCCTTCTACTTTCTTTAAGACTGGTAAGGTTTTTTTCTTTAATGTTAAGAAGTTGATGAGTGTATCTTTGCAATGAATTAGGATTAATTTTCAAATATGTCTTGGATATTTTGTCCTGCTTCTATTTGGTGCATATCTGAGCAGCTTTCAAATGTATTTCTTTTGTAAATGTGTTGGTACTTCTGAGACAGCATAGGGACTTGGGCCCAGGAATAGAAAATACTAAGTGGCCAGGAACCCAGGAACTTCAACACTGGTAAGCCTTCTGGCAAAAGAATGCAGAGGTGCTTCCATTTGAGGATGAATTCTATCCATACGTATATCTTTTTAACCTGGGCTAAACATGATACAATTTCTATGGAAGTTTTGAAACTAATACACATGCGTGTGTTGTGTGTGAAAAGGTACCTATGTTCCTAGAACGACCAAACTGTACTGTAGGTGATTATTCTCCCATGGTGCTTTTGCACATCTTGATCAGCCTTTACTCTGTGGGATGCTGATTTGCTTAAGAGAAGGATAGTCCACATAAATGTGCCTTAAGGAGTGTAGGCTGTGTTCTGGCACAGTGGCTCTGCATTTTTGCCATTCCACAACTATGTTCTATTAAGAACCTATCAGTGAAACTGACTAGATGCCTGTTGTCTTAGGAGAAAAGAGTTAGGGAGAGATCACAAATAAAAAAATATTATCTCCCGCATTTACATCATCATGAGGTAATGGGTAAACCAGAAATGGAGAGAAATTGGAAACAGAGTTTAAAGTGAGTAATGGGATTGCATGAAGGAAGGCTTACAGAGATATTGGGAGAACAAATAATCAACATCTTCAAGCCTTTCTCCTTGCCTTTGAGAGTTTTGAGTCCTTGGTTTTAAGTTTTTAATGGGAACAACTATGACCTGCTGTATTGTAGGGGACTAGGTCATTGAGAAGGTCACAATAAAGTTTATGCAAAGCAAATACAGTGAGAGTTGGGCATGATTCATGATTCAGATAAATAGGCTGATCAGCTTACAATTTATATAATGTCAGTTTACTTTGTAAGTTTTTCAGGCAGGTTGAATTGAACTATTGTGGAAGAAAAGTGGAAATACCTCAGATTTAGTAAATATTTTCTTAGTTTCCAGAGGCTCCAAATAGTGAGAATGCTTTGTTTTAGTTTTAAATTGAGATTGGCTTGCTTTTTAGATAAGAACTAGAAGTCTCTTACCCAAGTATAACTTGCTGTTTTTAAGTTTCATACTAGAGCTATTTTTAAAAATCTCATAATAAACCTAGTTTTGTGTTGTCATTTCTTTTGACATTAATTTTTCCTTCCTGACCCATTTTCAGTAAGTGGCCTCTCAAAAGAAGGAAGTGAACTTGAACTTCTAACGGTGCAGATTTAGATTTGATAGAAGGTAAACCTTTGAGAGTGATAATTTGTTAAAGACCAGGATAGGTTACCAAGAGAGAGAGAATTTGTTATAACCAGGTCACAGCACTCTTTTTTTCTGGGTCACCCCCTGGGGACATGGAAATAGCTTTGTCACACAGAACTCTTTTTGCATGTGGTGATAGATCATTGTAGAACTTTCTTTTCTTAGGGTGTGCTTAAAATATGTTTGTTTCCTGCCCTCATTAATTGGGAATATAAAATAAATTTGAGCTTGGTAATTCTTGGAAAGGAGGCAGGAGATGTTTTATTGGCTGACGTTGAATGCGTTCTCATATTTCACAGCTCATGGTGCTCTGTTGTAAGGAAAGCCTCATCAGTATTGGCCACAATCATTTATTTCTCTAAAAGATCATTGAAAGGAGCCTTTGACATCCATATTTCTTTGCTTCACAAAAGAAATTATCAAATGAGTTCTAATGAAGAAAAAGTTCAGGGTAGATTACCTAAAGTAAAGTACATACATTGTTTCTCCTTCATTTCCACTTCTATGTTCCTAGTTGTCATTTTAAGGCAATGTTGGCCAGGCTGAAGAATAGCAAATCTAAAAAAGGGTGAGTAATATTCAGTTCCCAGGATAGTATACATTTTGAAAGCAATGTTAACTAGTAAATTTAATCAATTAGTTCCAGTTGGCATATTTACCTTATTGTTTCTAAGGATGCTTCCAAAGGCTGCTTCCCATGTTCCCTTGAAAGGCATGTAGTTTTTCAAGATTAGGCTTTGCATTTTAGACAGCCAGATGAACACTTTGGGAAAATCTTTTCAAGATTTATAAAATGTTCACATGAACAATATCTGTTCACATGAATGATATCTGTTGAATAAATCTTATGGAGCATTTTCTCATGTATTAAATAAGCACATTAAAACACATCAGAAGTATATCATGGGAAAATAATAGGGATCATGATTCAATAGCTTTGTAAGGACAGTCATATTACAGATCGTGGACATTTAAGTGGCTCTACAGAGTGAACAGCTTATGAATTATGTTATTTCTCTGTGACCTGAAGGGGAACAAACCTTCACATGAAGTCAGTGAAATTAAGTAATTTTTTAAAAAACTAAGGAGATTATGTTTGGAATCCTTGGAGGTATGTTATTTTGTGTGAAGGTGTATCTTGGTTTTCTGTTAGTGAATTACTTCGGGAATATGGAGCCTTCACTCTACACAATTGGCCAAGTACTTGGATATCAAAAATAGCCTGGCTCAAAAGGAGATTGGGCTAGACATAACGTTAGTGTGTCTTTACTCAGAGCTAATCAGCTGCCCCCCCCCCTTGGTTAGATATAAAGGGTCAGTTCTGGTGTTGTAATAGGATAAATATTTACAAATGGTAGGTAAGCAAATAAATCTTGGACCAAATGAGGAGCATATCTTAAAACCCCAACTACATGTATGCCAGATAACTGAATCAATACATAATTTCTTAATCTCAAAATAAGAATCCTTCCTGAAAAGCAAGTTAATACTAAAGCCTGATTAACTCCCTAAGAAGGGAAATAATACTTATAAATGTAGATAATATGAATTTGGGTTAACTGTCAGGAATGATATTTGTGCAAATTATGTGCAAAAACTGACCCTCACAAAATATTTGTAGTTAGATTAGAGTTTCCATTTATGGTCATATCAGTATTTCCATTTCATTTTAGGAATTTGAAAATTGACTATAAAAATGTGCTTGAGGTAAAACTTGAAGATAAGCATCAAGAGGCTTTTTTTGTGTGTGACTGTTTCTGGGAAAAGTAACTATGTGAAATGATGCAGAAAATTCATCCAGACAGTTAGAGATTGGCATTTTCTTCAGAGGAAGAAGAGAGTATAGATAAAACTTTCTGTGAAGGTCCTGCTGCTCCATTCTATTTGTCACAAGAAGGTGACTACTTACATTATTTGTTACTTTTACTTAAAGACAATTAACTGGTATTTTTTTCCATGAAAACATATTTTAAGATAATTTCTTAATGATTTTGAGTAAAATTTGGAAAATTTCAAATAATGCTGTAGAAACCTATGGGCAAAATTATAGTCATAATTCTGGTATACTTGGACATAATTGGTGGTTCTAATTTAATAATAGGGAAAATGTAGGATTTTAGGAAGTTTGTATCTCCCACTTTAACCTTTCTCCCAATTTCTAGTTGAAATCAGTGGGTCCAAAACCAAGACTAGGTCACCTTTCTCTCGCTTATTTTTCCCCATACTTGAACCTGGTTCATATTACACTCTGATTATTTTGCTCACTATACAACCAATGAAGTAGAAATGAGTGTTGACATTACTTTTTAATTTTTTTTTCTATGTGATCTTATTCTCACAACTACCACAGTAGTCCATACCCAGATTATAACGCATATCCAGATTATTTCCATAGCAGCTAATTGGCCTTCTCCCACAGTCTTTTACATTTTGATTGGTCTAGCTTTCTTTATTCTTACTCCTATAAAAACTTATTAAACCACCCCTTCCTCAAAAGCATTTGCCCATTCACCTGGGATTTAAATGGGCCAAAGATTTTAAGTTTGTCCCTAATTACGTTTTCTAACCTTATCACTAATCACAAACCTAATGTAAATCCTCTCCCCTGGGTGATTTAGGGACTCCCAAACACAGCTGCTTCTGCTGTGTGTCACTACTCAGAACACCCTCCCATTCTGATTCTTCACAGTATCCTTTATTCAAGTTCCAACTCAAGTCCTCCTGTCTCCCTCCCCACCCCACCCGACCCCACCAAAACAAGCTTCTCTGAAGTTCTAATCTGCCATCACCTCTAACGTCTGAATTTAGTCCACAAATTAATTATTTTTAATTTGTTTCTGTGTTTCAAATCTTTCAGTTCCATTTGTTACTTCAGAAGGACCAAATAATGATATAGATATGGCTTTGATAATAATGGGTCAATTTTAATGGGACTGACAATAGCAAAGTACACTGTGCTGCCTCCCTATACTAAAGCTTCACAGCACCTCCTCAATAATAATGGACGTTTTGTCATTTTGTTAATGGTCTGGTAGAGACAGGTCAATACAAACATTATTAAATATAAGAGTTAAAATAGCTGCCATTTATTGAGCACTAGAAATATGATAATTGTCTTTTAATCATTGTTAATAACCTTATAAGGAAGAAATAATAGTTTCCAGAGAGATTCTGAGGCTCTGAGGGGTTAACTAATTTGACTAAGGTTGCATAGCCAGTAATTGATAGAGGGGACTTCAAAGCCATTCTGTGACTCTTAATCATTGTGCCAGGCTGCCAAGTTTTGAATAGGTGTGTACCATTTACTATTTTTAGTTCCAAATAGTAAAGAATGAGGCTTAGTTGAGGGTCAGAACAAAAGGCCAGACCTACATCTGCTGCTGTTCTACCTGCTCTGTAGTTAGTGAAACGTCAAATTCAGTTTCTTGGTTTTATTTGGTACTTTTCATGAGCACTGGCTTTAGGCTTACTTTATAAAAGGTCTACAGTTCTTCAGTCCATAATTAAACTCCAAATATGTAATTTTTCTTCGATATAGAAAGCCTTGCATTTGTGATTCTTTAATTCCGTTTGGGAAAGGATTGCAGAGTTTCATAATTTTAATGAGCAGGTTTCAAGTAAACGTTGGCTGATTCTGAATCTCTTATCAAGGTAGAGGCCATTCAAAGAGCAGAGACTGTTAAGGACAAGGAAACTGATATCCATCAAGTCATTTCCTATTTGAAAAATTTAACTGTGTATAGTGAAATACATACATAAGAATTTAAGTGATTGTTTATAATTAAATTACTTGATTTTAAAACAGTAAGACCTAAAGGAAAACATTGCTATTTGCTTTTAACATAGATGACTTCTTTAAGTTTGAAATGCACTTTAAATATTTTAAATTGCATAGATAAATACAATGGATGATTTGAGAGCATTTTGGGGACTTGATCACTTGAGTAACAGACATTGCTACACATGAATAGTGGGGACAGAGCTGCAGATGTACTCAATCTTTTGGCCAACATTGGGTTGATTGAGACTTTTAGATACCTCAGCAATAATGAATAAAGTTAAATTCCTCTCCTCTGTAGCTTTTTGTTGCTACTATTTATTTATTTATACTTATTTAAATTGTAGTTACAATTAGAAAAAAGTATCCTGAGATTAGGAAGTGTAATTATTTAGGCAGCAAACAAAGAGTTGTTTTAGAAATTTTAGTATCATTAGGAGGAAGTTGAAAAAGACTGGAATTCCATTATCTTGTAAGAAGTAAGAAATATTTATTGATTCCCAAATGGAGCTTTAAAAAAAACCTTTCCTCTTTTAGAAAGTTGTGAATGACCCAGCGAGAGCTCTAGTAAGCTTTACTGAACCAAGCTGCTAATAGTTATTTAATGTTATTCTTCAGTGGGAAAGAATCTCTGTAGATTTTCCTTTTAATCTCTTTGAATTGTAGGCTCATAAACCTCTCTGATGAGCCCTGCCACTGTTTTCTTAGATCCCACCATTGAGACAATGGAGCCACAGAATTCTTTCACCTCTTGTTGTCAGACAAATCCAATAGAACACAGGATCAGAAGGGCCTGTACTTCTAAAGGTTTAAAGATTCTTTTTCAAGTAACCACATAAATTATTTGATTTTATCATTATATTGCACAGGAATCTCTTTAACTATAGTGCATTGCTTTCTATATGTAAATAAATTGGGAAGTTTTTCCTGTCCCCATATTTAGTTAAGCATGTCAGCACTGCACAGGGTGTAAACAGACATTAAATGTTCCCCAATACCTTCGAAAAAGCTGAATCTACTCACTTCAAAAGAATTAGGGATTGTAATGTCATTGGTCTCAAGATAGAGTACACCAAATGCCTTTCCAGTGGCTGGGTTTTCTTTTTTATTATTATTATTATTACCATTCTGTAGCTAAGAGCCTCTGTTCCTTTAATTAAAAAGTACTTTCTAAGTCAATTTATGTTTTCTCAACAATTTTAGTAGTGTCATGTTAACAGAAGAACTTTGAGATAGGATTTATATTTTCAGATTTAAAATCTTTCATTGTAACAAAGCAAAAATATTTATAATATGTAAAACTCAAAATAAAAACAAATTGATCTGTTTTGCAGATGCCTTGCCTGATAGACAGTTATCAAAGCTAATTACAGGGTTCCTGTTACTTTTAATGGCTAGGGATGAATTATATTTTCTAATTATAACGACAATGGTGGACAAACAGAGATCATTGTTTAAAAAGAAAAAAACAAAAACAGGGGGATCCATGATGGCAATGGAATAAGTGAAGCTACACTCATGTCCCAGGACCAAACAGGAATTACAATTAAAATATAGAGCAATCAGCCTGAATAACCAGCTGAAGAATAGCTGAATAGAAATCATATAACCAAAGATTTACAGAAGAAGCCACATTGAGACTGGTAGGAAGGGCAAAGCAAAAGAACTAGCCCCACTCCCACGGGCCACGGGTGGTGGCTGAGATTCCAGAGTGATATCTCAGCTGCAAAGAAAGGTTCTCCCTGCGAAGAGTAGGGTCTCAACCCCATGCCAGGCTCCCCAGCCCAGAGCACCAGAACTGAGAAGAGGTACCCATATAATATTTGGCTGTGAAAATCAGTGGGGATTCTGTCTGCCAGGGATAGACAGGATAATGCTAGGAACATAGGTGCCCCTTTAAAGGACCAAAGCACAAAACCTCGTTTGCAGCCACTCACCTTATGCTCTTCAGAGAGAGGGTGGAGCAGACTAGAGTTATGTGAGGAGAGACTGGAGTTTGTGGCTCTGAGGAGGCAGTTGAAGGGACAGCTGCTAGGATCCCTGAGCTGAGATCTTCTCCCACATATCAGATGCCAGCTCTCCTGGGTGGAGCACTCCCCTCCACAGGGCACCAGCTTGGAGCAATGCATAGCCCCACCCTCTGGACTCCCTGTTGCCTTACCTTGTGGAGCTTGTGCTCTTCTGAGGAATCAGCTGCCTGGGCTGGGGATGTAGAGGTCTGGCAGACTTGGGGGAGGGGTATTCCTCCCACTTTTCCCGTAACCTGATTGACACTTCCTCTGCACTGTTGCCTCCCCCTCACAGGAAATCCGCTAGCCCCAATCTCCAGGCTCCCTGTGGCCTCACCCTCCCAACTCCTGGTGGCTTTGTCCTGCCTAGGTCAGGGCAGATCCAGGACAGACTAAGTTTTGCGGCTCTGAGGAGAGGCCCACTCCCTTCACCTTCCCCCAAGCCTGACTGGCATCTCCCCCTCACTGGAGATCCACTAGCCCCATCCTCCCAACTCCTGGTGGCCCTGCCCTGCTGAGATCCACCTCCTGGCAGAATCTGGGACAGGGATCATTTTTCCCTCACAGGCCCAACCGTGCAGAGCCCTACCTTCACTCAGCCAAATCTTGGTCTCTTTCTGCCTGATAAACTACTGGCCTGTCCCTGATGACTCCCTGAGACCCCGCCTCACCACAGAGGCGTGCGAGCACCCAGCCTGGGTATACCCAGGGACATTTGCTGAGTGCCACAGACTCAGCACTGGCAAGGAGGTTGAACCTGTATCAGTCTGGTAAACACCACTCACCCCTACCTGTCACTCACTAAGAACCTACCTCAAGCAACTCAAGTACCAGCAGAGGCTCTTCCAGTAACAGAGCCTAACGGCAGAGCAGGCAGAGGCGGATCTTGTCCCCAGCTGACCTGTCCCCAGGCCTGGTGCTGGTAAAAACTGGTCTTGGTATGCAGTTTGGTCCTTTGCACACACAGGCCCAGCAGATCCAAACTGGATCGCTTTGTAACTCCAAACACGTTGCCCAGGGCAGCATCTGACATTGGCCTGCACTGGAGAGCCTCCCAAGAGGCCCCAGAACCAAACACCGAGTGGCCAACTTTTGTTTAGAAATTACTTGGTATGTTGATACTCTACATAAGCTATTCAGTGGGAACACAAAGATAGAGGAAGTACCCTAGCCACTAGGCAAAGTCTGTATCTTTGGATTTTATGTATAGTTTAATAGACCATTGGTACCCAATAGATGTGAAGTGATACAATATTTGACATACTAGTAAATTTTAAAACGGTAAGTAAATTAGAATTATACTGACCAGGCTGGAGTTGCTTTTTAAGCACTCTTCATGGTTATCAAAATTAAGTGTCTCATTTTATATTTTACAGAAGATGATCTAAGAAATATGGGACCAGTAGATGCTCAAGTATATCTTGAAGAAATGTCTTGGAACAAAGGTTGGAATTTATTTTCTCTCTTGATATAGTAAAGGAAAATATTAGGGATTTTCTGTAAGAAAATAAAAATTCTTACAGGATATTTGGAATCTTAAAAAGAAATACTGGTAATAGCTTGGCTTTTGATATATATGTGGGTGTTTTTGTCTTGAATAGTTTTGTTTCATTCTGAACTTCAATTATTGATGTCCCCCTGTATGACTCATTCCTAGTTATTTTTCTATCCTAATTAGATGTTAGTTATGTAAGGTTTCATAAGGTTTTCTTTTTTAAAACTACTTTGGTTTTTGGTTTATTCTCCATCTGTGTAATGGGGAAATAAAGTTAAAGATAATTTCCCCACCCTTCCTATGCTGACATTCGAGGTGCATTCCCATTAGAATTTTTATTTGTTTATCATAAACTGTCAGGGCAGGCCTTTCATTGTTAAATTTTTTTACTTGGAGCTTGATTTTACACTTTTTTATTGTCTTAGGCAGAAAATAAAAATCTGTCACTGTCTTTTACTCACTATGAAGTCATATCTTTTTCACTTTCCTATTACTAGAATGTTAACACCTAAATCTAATTTAATTTCTCCACTCTTGGTAGTTCTTGCTCAGGGAGACATTCTTAGGTTTTTTTCCTAAATGAAGGCCTTAAATATCACACTTCCATGTTTCTCTGGTCAAATGAAGACAATCTTACCATTTCCTCGAATTTGTATATACTTTTAACCCTATAATTTTATTGTTCAGCTTAGCGTAGAAATCCCTTAGGGACTTATAAACTTTACTGAGTGTGAATAGGTAGAAGATAAACAGCCCATCCTTCCTGAAAACAAGTTTAATGAACTATTTTTTAACGGCAGATTCTGCAGATTCTTCATGTAGTGCTCTCAGGAAGTTGGGTCACAAGCCATATTGACTGAGAGAGAGGATCATGTTTTTGCCTAAGGGCCACTCTGTTCCTATAGTGCCAAATGAGGCCCTGGAGTAGAAATTCTTATTTGCAGTGAATGATTAGAAAACAAGGTTTTGTGTAACTGGGGCTCCCAGGGGTTCACATAGTTTCATCAGCGTAAACTGGGAGAGCTATTGCTGTGAAATAGAATATTCTAGTGATATAGGCTTTTACTTCTAGATCGTGAGCCAGACAGAATAGAACATGTTACTTATCAGGGAGACCTGCCCAGCTAAATAAATCTTTTGAAAATATAGTATTGCTACTTTACCAATCAGTATGTGTGTGTGTGTATGTATGTGTTTTAATCTCTTGTTAGACAAATCTCTTCTTGCTTGTAGTCGACGTGACTAGTATATTTTGTTTGCAGTTCCTGATAATGTAAAAATGGTGAAAACTGGGTTTTGTAGTATTTCTTTCTTCAGTATCATTTAAAAATATAATTAATAATTTAACATTTTTTAGTCAGACAGAGGCTTCCAATGAGCACAAGACCAGCATTTTTTAAAAGTAAGAATATGGATTGGGTGTTCAGCATCTGTTAGTCCACAAATATATGAACTTTCTGATACAAGTGAAAATGCTAAAAATTTGGACACTCAAGATTTAGTACAGAAGAATGGATGAAATGCTACACGATAGACATGGCCAAATTATCAGCTTCTTGACCCACGGACAGTTTGAAATGGTGCATATTATTATGCTTAAAAGGCATACCTGAAGAACTCTTGAGAGACTAAGGTTTTAACCTTTTCCCCTCACAGTTAATTTCATATATAACTTAGTCATTTTGTCTTTATTATATTTAAAATGATGATTTCTGTGAAGTTATCACTTTGTTAACTGATAGAGGAATCATATTAGAAGAAATTTGACAAGATTTGAGTGTTTAGTGAGATTAACATTTGGAATCATCTATGACAAAACTCCACAGTATCCCATGGTGGCCTCTGCATCATTTACTGAGCACATCACCTCAAATTGTTTCTCATTGTTCACTGAGGTGGTAAAAAACAACACAAACAAACAAAAAAAACAAGGGGGTAATGTAGCTTAAGAAATCTAATGGCTAAAATGTGTGCATTTTTACACAATCTATATAATAAAGAGCCAGGGTTGTAACGACTGTTATGACTGAAGGCTCAACCAGACCGGAAGTCAGTGCTGGGTTGCTAGGCCGGACCCACTGCGGGCACCCAGACCCAGCACTGACTGCCTAGGGCAGCGGTTCTCAACCTGTGGGTCGTGACCCCTTTGGCGGTCAAACGACCCTTTCACAGGGGTCGCCTAAGACCATCCTGCATATCAGATATTTACATTACGATTCATAACAGTAGCAACATTACAATTATGAAGTAACAACGAAAATAATTTTATGGTTGGGTCACAACATGAGGAACTGTATTTAAAGGGCCAGAAGGTTGAGAACCACTGGCCTACGGGGCTGCAGATCAGGCCCAGAGAGAGGCCTGCAGAGAGAGAGAGGCAGGGTCTGATCCATAGCCTCTGGCAGCTGTTGATCAGAACTTGCCTCTCTTTCTCTCCATTTCTCAACAGGCCTCCACTAGGGCTGCTGATCAGCCCTGCCTTTCTGATCAGCCCCTGTTGATAGGCCCAGAGATGCTGACTGGCATAGAAACTGACCAGTCAGAACCAAATCTGGGTGAATGTAAGGAGCCAATGGCTGCCTAGGAGGCGGAGCTTTTGATGCTGACTGGCATAGAAACTGACCAATCAGAACCAAATCTGGATCAACTGTGAGGAGCCAATGGCTGCCTAGGAGGCAGAGCTTTTGATGCTGACTGGCATAGAAACTGACCAATCAGAACTAAATTGGCCAGCAGAGGGCAGTTGGGGGTGAGATCAGGCCTGCAGGGGAGGGCAGTTGGGGGTGAGATCAGGCCAGCAGGGGAGGGCAGTTTGGGGCAACCAGGCTGGCAGGGGAGGGCAGTTGGATGCAAGATCAGACTGGCAGGGGAAAGCAGTTGGGGGCGAGATCAGGCCAGCAGGGGAGGGCAGTTAGGGACAATCGGACAGGCAGGCAGAGGCAGTTAGGGTTAATCAGGCAGGCAGACAGGCAGAGGAGTTAGGGGCAATCAGGCAGGCAGGCAGGTGAGTGGTTAGGAGTCAGCGGTCCCAGATTGTGAGAGGGGTCCCCGATTGGAGTGGGTGCAGGGTAGGCTGAGGGAACACCCCCTCTGTGCACAAATTTCGTGCACTGGGCCTCTAGTTTAATAATAAAACAATTCACTGTGAAAGCATGCTCCACTTCATATGTATGTTGGCTCAGACAGGGAGGATGTTAGCATTTTTAAATTCCAGATTAAATTATATTTCCCTGTGGGGGAAAGACTCATTGTGGTAAAAAATAAAAAGCAAGACTGGTGAATGAATCCATGTTTTCCTTTATGATAAAAGAAACACATAAAGTTGGTTCATTTAATTACTAGTTTTTCCAAGGCCAGACTTCATTAGCGAACAAAAACAAGGCAGTTATTTTTTTCGTTTCCTTCTCTCTCTTCTTTTAGTGGCATATGTTGATATCAAACTGTTAAAAAATGAAATTTGAGAATTGAATGAAGATACCAGATGTAAGAAATCATATCTTAGTTGATTTATCTATGTAACAAATTATGACAGTAGTAAAATAATGTGATAATTGTTTTTCTTTGACAATCATGTCTCAGTGACAGAATGTCCAGTAAATTAAGAATTCTTTTAAAGGACATAAGCATTTCAGCTTCTCAGGAAAATGACAGACATGATAAAATTTCCGTAGGCTACACATCACACAATGTTGTTTCCTTTGGGCATCTCACTTCAATGATTGCCCTTTGGTTCACAAATCATTTGTAAACACCAAACAAACAGGTACACACACAGAAAAAACACACCATAGTGTGTGTTTATATATTTGAGTCAGGACTCTTAAAATAGTATGATACCAGAACAGATATATTCAAATATTGAATTTGATAAACAGTCAAATTAGCAGTTTTTTCTTAAAGGATATATATACTCCAGGCAAAAGCAAGTTCTTTAATAAGACAGGTAAAGTTGTTGTTTTTCCTTTACAGTCCTATTTTGGACAAACGCATTGTTGAGAAGAATGTGAAATGTGTATGAATCTTAAGAAAACAGACTTCAAATAAATTTTCTGGGTTGCTTCAGAGCATTTGCTGTCACTCCAAGATCTTTGGACTACTGATTTATAGCTTTAGTCCGTCTCCTTTACAGAGATTCTTTGGTGGATAATTTTTTAGAAACACTGCCCCTGCCTATATATGAAATATTTTCAAGTTCTCATTTAATACATTTTACATTTACTGAACTTATTTCTTTTGTTCTTCAGTTTCTGTGGAATAAACCACATTGTGTGTGTGTGTGTGTGTGTGTGTGTGGTGTCAGTGTAGTTACCTGTAAGCATTTGAAGCATTTTTTTGTTTTCTCTGCAGATGATCACTCTTACTCTCTGAGTTGCCGTTGTGGTGGAAAATACAGTGTTTCCAAGGATGAAGCCGAAGAAGTTACCCTGATTTCTTGTGATACATGTTCACTAATTATAGAACTCCTCCATGGTAGCTGAAATTGTTCACTAAATGGATTCCCTTAACTATATATTCAGACATGTTGAGGAAAGTCCATTCCAGCTTTATACATTCAAGCAACTGTCTATTATTTGCAAAGAAAATGTAAGCTTGTCAAGCAAAGTCTAACCCACATTAATAGAAAATTAATTTAGCTCTTTATATGTTTACTAGTAACCCTGTGCACGAATCTGTGCACCATTATATGTTTACTAGTAACCCTGTGCACGAATCTGTGCACCAGTAGCTCGCCAGTAGCTTGCTGCCACCCTCCAGTAGCTCTCTGCCCACTGCCCCGCCCTCCTGTAGCTCCCCCCGCCCCCCCCTTAGCTTGCTGCCCTGCCCCCTCCTGTAGCTCTCCCCCGCCTGCTTGTAGCCAGTAGCTCACTGCCACCCCTCCTGGTAGCTCTTTGCCCACCCCCCGCAACCCTCCCCTCCCAAATAGCTTTCTTCCCCTCCCCCCTCCTGTAGCTCTCAGCTGCATACCTGTAACCTCGCTGCCCCACCCCTCCCTGTTGATCCCGTGATCCCGGTCGTTATGCAGGTCGGTTGTTTACGCTTCACGGCATTAACAACCATTTGCATATTACATATTTTATTATATAGGATAATTTATAGATTCCCAAAAAAAGATTGAATTATAAGTTATTTATAGCAAATTCCTATTTGAGACTTTATTATTTGTTTCTGCAAATAAGCATGTCTCCTCTTTAATGGGTCACGATACCATCATATTCCTTTATAGTTACTAAGTTTCTGAGGTAACATGACATTTCTAGCTGTCAAAGTTATAGGCCTATTGTACAACTATTTCTGAATCTCAGGTCATTAGAGTTAAATTACATTCTGTGTGAATGATATGTGAGCCTGGTTCTCCCATCGTGAAGGCTGACTATAGATATTCATGAGGTTATTTCAAAGTTAATAACGAAGACAAAGTGGCAACTGTAGAAGGAAGAATAGCTTTGGAGATGACTTCAGTCCTGCCACCATATTTCCAAAGCCTTCAAGTGGTTGTATTAATTGGAGTAAGGTTCTTGATTACTGCCATCTTCAACTTTAAATATAATTTAGGAAATGGTAGTTTTAGAAAAAAAAAATTTGAAACAAGTGCATTACTTTCCTTTTGGTTTCAGAGTGCGAAGATACAGTATTAATGCCTGTATTTAGGAATAAGGAACCATTGCACTGCTAGTATGATGAAATGGACTTTTATAATGTATCATTGATTATAGTAAACTAAAGATTTTATTTTTCTATGTATTTAACATTTTATGTACAGTGTAAGTCAGAAACAATTTAAATTTGATTTGAAAAGGAATCCCTTATGGGATCACTGAAACTTTAAAAATATACATATATACTTTTAAATACATTTTTATTGATTTCAGAGAAGAAGAGGGAGAGAAAGATAGAAATATCAATGATGAGAGAGAATCATTGATCAGCTGCCTCCTGCACACCTCCCACCAGGGATTGAGCCAGCATCCTGGGCATGTGCCCTGACCAGGAATCGAACTGTGACCTATTGGATCATAGGTCGACGCTCAACCACTGAACAACACTGGCTGGACTGAAACTATTTTCAAATGAGTGAACCAAGTTTGTGACTTAGCAGCTTTTTATTAGGTTGAATCTTTGCATTTATTGTTGATTTGGACTTATAAGACTAGTTTCTACTCTTTATAAATATAGCTAACAAAAAAATACAATAAAATAAAAAATAAATGTAGCTAACGTATGAAGCATATTCATGTGGAGAGTTTATTATACCTAGAAAACTAAAAATTCAAAAGTGAGGTTGTCATCCAGGTTTCCCCCCTAAAAATATTTTTACATATGTCATAAATGTTAAATGATTTATTGGATTACACTTACCCATATATTTTGAATTAATGTAGCTTGCAGATTGCGTGTTACTTATTCTTTACAAATAACAATTAAAAATAACAAACTGAATAGCAAATAGTTTATTAGTAAGTACATGGTTTCAGTGGCAATAATAACTTCACTTGAACAGGAGGCAATAATCAAATGAAAAGAATAAATGTTGGCTAATCATCAGAAAATCTGTGGCCATTAGGGCTATCACGTAGAAATCCAAAATCACTCAGAGGCCAAATCTATAAAATCAAAATTGATTGAAGACAATTAATGAAAGTGATGTTATATCATCATATTCCTTTTTATTTCATTCATCCTTTTTCTCTATGCCATATAACTAAACACTTTCTCTGTATTCACTCAAGAACAAATTTCCTACATCAAAATACGACTTTAGAAAGTAAATTTATGTGTCTATGTATTTAAACTCTAACATGGGTTTGAACTGCATGGGTCCAATTATGCACAGATTTTTTTTTCAATAAATATACAGTTAGCCCTCCATGTGCCTGGGTTTCATAGCCATGGATTCAACTAACAACAGATTAAAAACATTATTTTCCATCCATGGTTGGGAATCTGGAAGCAGAGGGGCAACTGTATGTATTGTTCTATGTGATTTTACATAGGGACTTGAGCATCCACAGATTTTGGTGTCTGGGGGTTTTCCTGGAACAAATTCCAGATACTATATGTAAGTTTTGGGGGAGTTAAAAGTTATATGTAGGTCAATGCCCCTAACCCCTGAGTTGTTTAAGGGTCAATTGTATATATGTGTGGGTGTGTGAGCATGTGTGTGTCTGTATTTTCTTTTACTGCCCAAAAAGTTAACTGTAAATCTAAGTACTTGAGTATATGCTTAAGTGTAAAGAATCCTGTAAATTACCCCCAAGTATTCCTGTCTGTTTTTCCCCTTACTGATTGTGAGAAAAAAGAGGAGCCAGTAAAAACAATAATCTTTCCTAAGAATCATAAATTTACTACAACATTGATAAGTCCATTCCTCACTGTACTTAACTAAGATATCCCTGCATTGCAGATATTTTGCCTCTACACTGCTCTTCTGCAAGTGCACATTAATATAGAGTATCTGCCCAAAATGTATACACACACTTTGAATAATTATAAGGCAGTGTTTATTAAAATGCATTTCATTTTCAAAATTGACCTATCAGCTGTTAAAGTGTGTATACAATTTTTGGGAACATGCTGTATATTCCCAGGATATTAACATGATTGTAAAAATACAAGAGAGAAATTTTTGAAGGTTCAAATTAAAGGCTTCTTATGCTACAAACAAAGGTAGCTAGAGTTTTATTAGTCAAACAAAAATATTCTCGATTACCTGTCTCAATAGGGGGGAAGGGGTAATGTTTATAGCTATGAAGGCTAACATTTTCACTACTGTTACTGTAACAGGTAAGTCCACTAACAGCCTAAAGAGTTCAGAGTTCATTTTGAAAGAAAATGTTTTTTCCCCCTCAGCTCAGATAAGAAGGCCTACATTTTAAGTACAAAACAGTACCTTAAAGAAGATCCGTCCTCTTATTAGTCCATATGGAATAGGTCCATAGGACCTGGAATCTGTAGAATTCTGTAAATTATCACCTTCTAACCAAACATGGCCCATTGGCACCTGGAATTAGAGAAGAAAGCAGCCCCTTTAAAAAAGAAAAAACAAATTTGGGTACTGTCAATAAAAAGTATCTTGTGCAGGTAAGGAAAAATGTCCTAAAGTTGTCTTTTTATAAAATACATATAAACCCTATGATTTCATTTTTGCACAATAAAATAACTTTTATTAAATACTAGTAATATTATGGTTTCAAATTTATTTTTTTTTCATTTTTTTTAATATATTTTATTGATTTTTTACAGAGAGGAAGGGAGAAGGATAGAGAGTTAGAAACATTGATGAGAGAGAAACATCGATCAGCTGCCTCCTGCACAACCCCCACTGGGGATGTGCCCGCAACCAAGGTACATGCCCTTGACTGGAATCGAACCCGGGACCTTTCAGTCCACAGCCCGATGCTCTATCCACTAAGCCAAACCAGTCAGGGCTCAAATTTATTTTTTAAACATATTTTTATTGATTTCAGAAAGGGATAGAGAGAAACATCAACGCTGAGAGAGAATCATGGATCAGCTGCCTCCAGCATGCCCCACATGGGATCAAGCCCACAACCCAGGCATATGCCCTTGCTGGGATTTGAACTGTGACCTCCTGGTTCATAGGTCGACACTCAACCACTGGGCTACACTGGCCGGCAGGTTTCAATTTTTTAAATGCCCATCTTTTTTGCCACATGGTTCCCCAAATTAATTTGTTATACAAACCCCACACTGAGGTTATAAGAGATCAAAACAGTGTGACAGGGTCATTAATTTAATAGACTTCAAAAGAGGTCATTAGAATGCTGACTGAAAATGTGCCCTCCTGTCTCCGTAAAAGCATAAACAAGGTAGCCACTCATTCTGCAACATCCTGGGGCCAATAGCAAGGCCAGACTTATTAAAATGCTGATGATGAACTAAATGGTAATTGATTGTGACATCAATTACAAATAATCTCATCATTTTATTGGAGTGGGCTTGTCAGAATTCTAATTAAGATCCCTGTTCTGCCTTGTACAGGCCATATCTTCAATGCATTATATTTCAATAATGACCATGAAGACCTAGAAGGAACTATTATAAAACCATCAGTTGTAAAATTAATGTTGGTGAACCTCTACTAAAATGAAAAGACCCAAGTTCCTATATGTCCTGTGTATTAACATAAGCCTAAATTTTTACTCAGTGACAATCATAAATATATTTAGAACAGAAAATGTTTGTTTTAAAAAACAAGGCCTCTTTGATATGGTACATTTGCCCATTAATATCTGTTCAACATAAACTTAAAAAATTACTCTCCAGCAACAATCATCTGTTGGAATAACCAAGTTGCTATCACTAAAATGAAAATTCAAGCCAGATAAGAGAAGATAAATTCTGCAGCAATATAACAAGATACTAACAGATAAGAGTAGATTAAAATGTATTTTATTTTATTTTTTTAAAAATATGTTTTATTGATTTTCTACAGAGAGGAAGGGAGAGGGATAGAGAGTTAGAAACATGGATGAGAGAGAAACATGGATCAGCTGCCTCCTGCACGCCCCCCACTGGGGATATGCCCGCAACCAAGGTACA